TAACTCTATATTTACTATTATTATTATTATTATTGATATCTTTTGATAAAATTTTTCTCTTCCAAAATATTTTATTTTTCTAGTGATTATGTAATTTCTTCTTCTTCGTTATATTTAAACGTGACAATGTTGTTTCTCTGTGCTTTTTGTTTTGTTTTGTTTTTGTTTTGTTTGTTTGTTTTGGTTTTTTTTGGATTTCCGATCCAAGCATACCGTCATTTTTAAACGTGACAATGTTATATTTATATACATATACATATATTATTAAATGATCCTAGCGCATTTTTATTTGTATAGTTATTAGCTAGGGCCTGTACTTATAGTTATTTAAATTTTGTTTGTAAATATGAATGTAATTCTAGCTACAATAAAACATTGTTGTTATAAGTAAAAACATCAATACAACATCGACTTACGTATTTACAGCTATATGTCACGGATGAATTCTTGAAGTGTATTTTAGTCTGAGGAGATCAATAAAATAAATAAAGAAACCGTCAATATTAATAATAATGAAAATGAAAAATAGAAATGATAAATAATGCTAATAAATAATTCACATAATAATATTAAAATAATAATAAAAAATTAATAAATTCAAAGAGTGATAATGAATAATAAATAAATAAAAAAATGAATGATAATAATGAATGATAATAATAAATAATAATAAACTAATAGAAATAATGAAAAAAAATCTCTACCGTACTGAGATAATGAATAGCTTCAAAGAAAAGTCTGGAACTTCTCTCAGGAAATATATTTTCGAAGGAAATGGCTATTCCATCTGTTCATTAACATTTATTTTAATCACGGATTGCGATTAAAAATTACAATAATTGGAATACTCACAAGAAATGACTATTTAAGGTTGGATCTTTCTTTCTTAAAGACGGAGTCAAGTTAGCCAATGCTTTCCACGCTTTTTAAGTCTTCTTTGACCAGGAGAACTACTACTACTACTGCTAACGGTCAGAGACTATGGGTGAGATAAACACCTGTGCTGGGAATCTTATCGTCTTTCGTATCGGATGTCTTCTCAGTGTTCTCTTGTGGAGTGTGTTGACAAGATAATGTTGTAGCTCGTGGATAGTGTAAATTAACTTTTCTCGATACTCGATATTTTTTATGTCTAGCTGAAAACAAATAGTCCTAGCCGTTACTGTAGAGAAAAGAGAAATGAATGAATGCATCAATGGATTAATGAATGAATGAATGAACGAATTAATGATGGRAAAAAAATCCATCCGCTTTCACAAAAGTTCAACAAAAGTCAACTTCTTACCTGCTTTACGAGAAGAATTACAGTAGGTATCATAATTATTAATTATAATTTGGTTGCTTTATCCACTCCGAAGTATACCTTAGTACGACTTCCTAAAGGGGGTCAAAACTCGATCACTGTTCGTATATCACGAGCTCCCTTTCTGTACCACTKTAGAAGAACAATGAAGTCATTCTTTGAAAGCTGCTGCGCATTCATCCCTGTGACGTCATGTTGCCATGGTGAGGCAAGTGAACAAGGTTTTTTTTAAATTTCGTATTTTATCAACTCACTTCGATTAACTCAAGTCTCTCCGCTATCTTCGACATCAAGGCGCGTATTATTTCAAATTTCATCTTAGAGGAAGAGAACTAAGAAGCAAAACAGTACGTTGCCACTCGTTTTTTGTTTTGTTTTTCTTTGTATTCCTTACTCAGCTCCCATGTTTTTTCAATTTCATTATTCGCAAAGACTCACGGGGCCCTTTTGCTCACTTTGGCGCCACTTTTCTCATTTATTTTGTCAGTTKGAGCTTTTCTCTTGCATTGTCGTAAAAAAAAAACATAAGTTGGCTTTTTTAATAACAATTCCCGACCAACGGTCAGTCAGTAATGTTAATAAATTTACAATTCAATTTAAGATGGCGTCTACAAATACAAAGTCAGGTTAACTAGGGCTTTAGTCGAACCAAAGAAAAAAATAATACTGCAGTAGTTATGGAGTGAAGCAAGAAACGTTTTCCTTTGGAAGTTTATTAAAGCTCTTTCTATGCCTAACGTACAGCATGGCTCCCTTAGACTTTTTTTATTAGAATAATCAACAGTCTAGATAAGAGACAACACCCTTAAGATATATTTTCACAATCTCTAACATAAGGATATAATGTCCGTGTTCAAGGAAACAAGAAATGTCGTTGATAAACGAACGATGAATAGTAGCTTTGATAAAGAAAGATTAGCTGAAATTAAGAGAGGAAGAGAAGACAAATGATCAACCAATTTGAAGATATTTCGATTCAAAGTTTAAACTTCCGCTGGCACCYGTCCTTAGGGGAAAAACTTTATTCATTAATTCTAGAACTTAATTGTTATTAAAAATGAAGTTCTCACTTTAATAAGAAGTTCCCTAAGTTAGATTTCTTTTTAGAATTAGTTCATGGTAAAAATGTTTTCATAATAATATGATAAAATAAAGATTGTAAATTCTATCTAAATTGGCGGGAAAATAAAAGGCGGGAAAACGCGTGCGCGTACACTTTTTCTGCGATTTTTGAAAACGCAGTTATAATACTTTCGCTACTTTTAGGCAACAGTTGAAGTAGAACGTCAAAGCTTTTTTTCTTTGTCTTTTTTTTTTTATCAAAAAAGGCCGCTGATAGCTTATTATACCTCTGTTTAAGTTTTATGTCAGACAAATTCCCAATTTAGTAAACAAATTAGTAATTTGTTTTCATAGACACCTAAGAAGGCTCGTTGAAAACGAAGGATTTCTAACGAAGACCTTCCTGCCTTTTTTATCATGATAATAAGCTCTTTTTTCTTTCTTTTGTCTCAGTATGCATTTGAAAGTGCATTTAAGCCTTAAGTGTATAGGTAACAGTAAAATATTTCTTGGTTTGAGTGTTGCGTGTTTAAAGTAGTATAAAGGTTTATACTTCAAATATGTTTAAAACTGTGACGTCATGATTCATGCAGAATCAATACTGAAGGGTATATCTACTTTAAAACAATTTGAGTATGACTGCAAACCACACAAATGGGAAGGGGAGGGGGTGGAGAAAGAAAGAAAGAAAGGAAGAGAGAAAGAGAGAAAGAGAGAAA